AAATTTATTAAGAACTACAAGAGGCAGGAGGAGGTGGAGAGCCATGATCGCTTACGTCCTGAAGGGACACGGCACAAAAAGAAAAATGGAATTGGTTAAAGATATTTTAAAGTTTTTTTTTTTAAGGAGGGGTCATAATGAATCTCAGATGTACCTCTTTAGTCATTTTGACAGCTTTATATTGGTTACTGGAATAGGCGATGGATGGGATATGTGTATGTTATTTTTTTATTTTTTGGGAGTGTGTGTGATGTGTGTGTGTGTACATATATCTGTGTGTGTGTGTGTGTGTGTGTGTGTGTGTGTGTGTGTCTGGTCTCTCTTGTGTTTGAGGGTGGGAGTTGAGAGTCAGATAGGTGTGTTTGTTTTGGGACTCATCTCTCTCTCTCTCTCTCTCTATATATATATATATATATATATATATATAAATATATATATATAATAAAGGCTTGTCAGTTAGCTGACTGATATTACCTTCAGAATCCCAACTCCAGAGATTCGTAGACAGAACCTTCCGGATAACTGTCCACTCGTCAGGGAGTGTCAGCAATTGACTGCTTGTACTTCTCGATTTTTCTTTTTTTATATGCACTTTTCATTGGTTCATTTTTTCAATTTATTTTTTAATAGTGCATGCGTGCATGTGTGCATTCCACACGCCCGTGTAGAATATCGTGATTATTTGTCCTTTTCGTTGTTTTCTTTTTACGTTATACTTATTCCTTATTGTTTTTTTACCTTTTCTCTTTTACCTCTTTTATTTCATTTATATATATATATATATATATATATATATATATATTTTTTTAAACTTGGGAAGGTTACTGAATACAATAATCACACGAAGTTTGGTAATGAACGATAATACTTAGGACAAGAACAACACATATAAGATTCGCCAGCGTAGCGTAGAAGTAGTTAATTGTTAGAAATGAGTCAAGTCAATTCCACATTGAAGCTCCAACTGCAGGATATCTACCAACCGCCCCACGCGGTCAGGTGTAACACAAAAGCCGAATTTAATGTTGGGTATCCGAGCCCTCGAGGTCGACGTGGAATTTATCGAACCCACGAGGTCTACGGAGAATTCCCCGTAGACCTCGTATAAAATGAGACTCGAATAGGTGGTTCCCAAAGACGAGACTATGTCGAAGGACAGAGAGTTTGACCAGCACAACTGGAGACGAATCTCCAACTGCAGGTTATTTACCAACCGCTTCTCGTGGCCAGATGTGGCGCAAGGCTGATTTTAATGTGGGGTATCTGAGCCGGTAGGGTCGGCCAAAATTTCCCTGTAGATCCATATAAAACGGGGTCGAGTTTTTCTTTCCTGAGACGAGACTCTGCCCTTTGACAGAGACTCGTCTAGGGATCCTCTCTGCCCCAGCACAGTACAGCACAGCTAGAGACGAATCTCCAACTGCAGACCAACATACAGTCATTAAAACAGTATTAATGTGAATGGAGACATGCTCATTATCGTCCGTAGGTATGCTACAACTATATATATATATATATATATATAACCCGGATATATATAGAGTTGTCCCGGATATAAGAAGTTCTTATATCCGGGTTTTAAAATATCCGGGTTTGGTCTATATGTATACATTAACACAGGCTCTAATTTGGGACCAGATAAAATCTCTCTTATATCCGGGTTTCTCTTATATCGGGTCTCTTATATCCGGGTTACACTATTTTATATATATATCGGCTATGATTGGCAAATATCAATTAGAGAGCCGAGTTCGAATTCTAGTTGAATTCATTACATTACGTGTTAATCTCTTTGGGAAAGGTATAAACCTCTTTTCCCCAACTATGGGTAAATAACAGGACAGACCAGGTTCTGTAGTCTTGGATGGCAAATGGTCTACCGCAGAAATAAATGGCAACCTACTGCGCTGAAAAAAAGGATGCCTCGTCAGTCATGTATTGAAAGATACCTAAGCGTGTTCACCCATGGCAACATAACTGACTGATTTTAATAGGTGGTGGCACTATACACAGGTAATTGTTTTTGACGAGGTTTCGGAGGCCAGTTGCACTATATGCATGTACATATTTTTTTTTTGGAGGATTTAAAATTCATGCTAAAAATAGGGTCTTTCCATATACGAAAATCAACTTACGAGTAGAAACGGTATATATAAAATAGTTTAATCTGTTATGTTTTCAATTATAGTGAAAGGTCATGATAAAGCCTGAATTGTTATTTTCCATTAATCAAATTTTAGTTTAGTTTAATGTTCAGCAAATATTGAGCAAGAAGAAAGTAAAGTATTCGTAATTATACAAGTATATTTCAATTGCAGAATTATTATTTTCATAAAATTTTGATGACAAATAGTAATAATAATCATAATAAGGAAAATAAGGAAGAATATATAAACACGAAAGAGATGGTTTACGAAAACAGCGCACACATAATGCATTAGTCATTTATCGTGATGAGTTTGACCAGAATTACGAATTAAAAAATGTAGTTGTAATTAAAACAGTAAGTAATTTATTAAGACGGAAATGTATAGAAAGTGCATTACTTTCTGAGCTATCAACAGTACACACATACAACATTTCATCTTTCTTAAGAAAAACGATGACATTTTAATGTGGTATATCTAAACACAACGGTGATAGACACTAACAAAACGAAAGCGACAAGGGAATATAAAAGTCGATTCGACGCCACGAATTTAAAATTAAAATTTAAATTTAAAAAGCGTTTCTACTTCGCCAGCATTTCTCGCGATGTTTAATTATTATAACCAACGTTTGTTTATATATCCCCCCTTACCTTGTATATTTATAATTGCATCAATAAAAATATTTAATCTTACGAAGTCCTTTTTAAATAACAAGTCGCCTTTACACATTTTTTTCATTGCGTCATTCAGTTACCCCCCGTAACGTTGCATCAACGATTATGAACAGAAGAAGAAGAAGAAGAAGAAGAAGAAAAAATGATGAAAATAGAAAAATGGTTAAAAAAAAGGAAATGAAAATTTGAAGAAGAGATTATGTCTAAAAAAGGATAGAGAAAAAAATGAAGAAGAGAAGAAAATTGATAAAAAAGATGATGAATTGCTAGAAAAAATGAAGATGATGAAGAAGAAATAGATCATGTATAAAAAAAAGGAGAGTGAAAAAAGAATAAAGATCTAAGAAGAAGAAAAGGAAGAAGAAGAAGATAGACGGAAGAGTGATAAAAGAAAGGTATGAATAGAAAAAAAAATAAAAATAATGAAGAAGAAGTAGATTCTGCATAAAAAGGAAGGAGAGAAAAAGAGAGAATGATCTACAGAGAGTAAGAATAATGAAGAAGAAGAAGAAGAAGAAATAGATGAAGGCGAAGAAGAAGGAGGTGGAAAGGAGGAAGAAGAATATAAGAAGAAGAAGATGAAGGCAAGAAGAAGGAAGGGGAGGAGGAGGAGGAGGAAGAAGAAGAAGAAGAAGAAGAAGAAATAGATGAAGGCGAAGAAGAAGGAGGTGGAGGAGGAGGAGGAGGAGAAGAAGAAGAAGAAGAAGAAATAGATGAAGGCGAAGAAGGAGGAGGTGGAGGAGGAGAAGATAAGAAGAAGAAGAAGAAGAATTTAAAAGAAGAAGAAATAGATGAAGGCGAAGAAGAAGGAGGAGGAGGAGGAGGAGAAGAAGAAGAAGAAGAAGAAGAAGAAGAAGAAGAATATAAGGAAGAGAGAGATAAAAAAAACAGTATGATTAGAAAGAAGATGAAACCTTGAAGAAGATGCAGAAAAGGAAGAGAGAGGAAAAAGAGAGAGAGAAAGAAGAAGAAGACGATTATTAATAGAAGGAAGAGAGAGCTAAGCAAAAAGAGTATGAATAAAAAAAAGATTAGAAAGACTAAGCCTTAAAGGAAGAAAAGAAAAAAAGACAGAGAGAAGAACTATTTATAAAGTGTAAGAATAAAAAGAAAAAGAAGCTTATGAATAGAAGGAAAAGCGAGATAAAAAAAAAACTGTTATGAATATAAAGAATATGAAAGGATTGAAGAAGTCGATTATGCATAAAATGAAGAGAGAGAAAGAGAAAGAGAGAGAGAGAATAGGGAGAGAAAGAATGATCTACAAATAGTAAGAATTTAAGGAGGAGGAGGATGTGGAGGAGGAGGAGGAGGAGGAGGAGGAAAGAAGAAGAAGAAGAATGGACAATAAATTGCTTAGGAACAGAAAGATCAATAAAAGATAAAACAAAAAGGATATTAATATTTAAAAGAAGGAAAATAATAAAGAAGTAGATTAGGCGTAAAAGGATGGAACAGAGAAAAAGAGAGGACGATCTTCAAAGAAGAAGAAGAAGAAGAAGAAGGAGAAGAAGAAGAGATATTAATTTTTGCAAAAAAAACTGTTGTCGCAAAAATGTCCGACAATACTGAAGACAGCAGACGTAATGTGCATGCGCGGTTTTGATTTAATTTACGAATTAAGAACGCTAGACAAACCAAGTTGAAAAAGACGAAACAATAAAGAGATTTAATTGTGGAGTATGGCGCTTACTAATATTTGAAGAATTTTTTAATAGTTCCAAACGAAAGGCCAATGTTTTTTGAATTAAGACTAAGTGGGGGAAATTTGAAAGAGAAAAATAGGAAAGAAAAAGTGAAAAGAAAGAAAAAGTATGAAGAACTTGAGTAGATTTTACTAGCATAAAAATGGAAACAACGAAAAAAAAAGAAGCAAAAATAGACATTGATTAACTGTATATGAAAAAAAAAAAGACAACGAGAAAAAGAATAAGCAACAACAAAAAAAGCTTAAAAAAAAGAAAAAGGAAATGAAACAAGCAGTCGAATAAATGTGGAATCAATTACGTAATAATGAAGGAAAAAAAAAGAAAGAGTAAATGAAACAAAAATGAAGAACGAAGTTGAATAAGTGTGAATAATTGAATAATGAAGAAAAAAGAAATTAAAAAGAGAAATGAAGATCTTGAGAAAATCTAAAAAAAAAAATGATGAAATTTTTTAAAAAATTAAAAAAAAAAAAGTAAGAAAAGAAAAAAAAATGAAGAAGTTGAATAAATATAAAAAACGAAAATTAATAAAGAAAAAGAAAGAAAGAACGAATGCATCGTTAAGGTTAGAAAAAGAAAAAATTAAAGAAAAAATGAAAAAAAATTGGGAAATATGAATCAATGGAAAAGTAAGAAGAAAAAAAACAACAATAAATAAAAAAAAAAGAAAGGTTAAAAAAAAGAAATTGATTCAGTAAAAATAAATCAGAGAATAACAAAGAAGAAAAAAACAAAAAAAAAAGGAACACTGAAAGAATGAATGATTGGCACTAAACTATTTTCATATTTTTTACAAGATTCCGCTAATCATTGGAATAATTCTATTCGCTTTTCTTTAAACATTTTCTTCTTATTCAACTTCTTTTGTCTCGATTTTCTTGCTCTTTTTATTACTCAGTACTCGATTTTCTTCCTTTCTCTTTTTATTTAGTAGTACTCGATTTTCTTTTATTACTTTCTCTTTTTCTTTCTCATTACTCGATTTTCTTTTTTTTCTTTTTTTATTACTCAGTACTCGATTTTCTTGCTTTTTCTTTTTTATTACTCAGTACTCGATTTTCTTCCTTTCTCTTTTTTTTCTTGTACTCGATTTTCTTTTTTCTCTTTTATTACATAGTACTCGATTTTTCTTTACTTTTTTTCTTCCTTTCTCTTTTATTACATCTCGATTTTCTTCCTTTTCTTTTTATTACATATTACTCATTTTCTTTTCTCTCTTTTTTACTCAGTACTCATTTTCTTGCTTCTTTTTTATTACTCAGTACTCGATTTTCTTGCTTTCTTTTTTTATTAAATATTTTTTTTCTTGCTTTCTCTTTTTATTACTTTTCTTTTTAATCATTTTTTCTTCCTTTCTCTTTTTATTACTTACTCGATTTTCTTTTTTCTTTTATTACAAGTACTCGATTTTTTGCTTTCTCTTTTTTTACTCATTACTCGATTTTCTTTTTTTTTTTTTTTATTACATAGTACTGATTTTTCTTTTCTTTTTTTATTACTTTTTTCGATTTTCTTGCTTTTTTTTTACTTAGTACTCGATTTTCTTTCTTTCTTTTTTTATTACTCTTTTTTTTTTCTACTTAGTACTCGATTTTCTTGCTTTCTTTTTATTACTCAGTACTTGATTTTCTTTCTTTTTTTTTACTTAGTACTCGATTTTCTTTCTTTCTCTTTTATTACTCAGTTCTTTTTCTTGCTTTCTCTTTTTATTACATAGTACTCGATTTTTTTGCTTTCTCTTTTTATTACTCAGTAATCGATTTTTTTTAATTTTTTTTTATTAATAGTAATCGTCACCTTTTTTCTCTTTTTATTTTATTCTTTTTCTTTCTCTTTTTTATTACATAGTACTCGATTTTCTTGCTTTCTTTTTTATTACTCAGTAATCGATTTTTTCTAATCGATTTTACTCAGTAATCTTTTTCTTGCTTTCTCTTTTTATTACTCAGTTTCGATTTCTTGCTTTCTCTTTTTATTACTCAGTATTCGATTTTCTTGCTTTCTCTTTTTATTACTCAGTACTCGATTTTCTTGCTTTCTCTTTTTTTTTACTTTTCGATTTTTTTGCTTTCTCTTTTATTACTCAGTACTCGATTTTCTTGCTTTCTCTTTTTATTGCTAAGTACTCGATTTTCTTGCTTTCTCTTTTTTATTACTCAGTATTATTATCTTCCTTTCTCTTTTTATTACATAGTACTCGATTTTCTTGCTTTCCATTTTTTATTATTACTCAGTATTATCGTATTTCTTTGTACTCTTTCTCTTTTTCTCTTTTATTACTCAGTACTCGATTTTCTTGCTTTTTTATCTTTTTCTTACTCAGTACTCGATTTTCTTCCTTTTCTCTTTTTATACTCGATATTATTCTCTTTTTATTTTTATTTCTTCTTTTTTATTTAGTATTTTTCTTCTTTCTCTTTTTATTATTCTACTCGATTTTCTTGCTTTCTCTTTTTCAGATTAGTATTCGATTTTCTTGCTTTCTCTTTTTATTACATTCTCTTTTCTTGCAATGTTTTTATTACTCAGTACTCGATTTTCTTCCTTTCTTTTTATTACTTTACCGATTTTTCTTCATTCTTTTTTTTGCTCTTTTATCATTCTCTCTGCAATACTCTTCTTCAGATTTTTTCTTCCTTTCTCTTTTTATTTTATCGATTTTACCTTTCTGTTTTCTTACATAGTATTTCTTTTTTTCTCTTTTTTTTACTCTGTAACCAATTTTCTTCTTCCTTTTTACTTATCGATTTTCATCCTTTCTCTTTTTATTACTCTCTCTACTCGATTTTTCTTCTTTCTCTTTTTATTTCATCCCATCTCTTTTTCCTTTCTCTTTTTGTCTTCTTCAGTAATCGATTTTCTTCCTTTCTCTTTTATTACATTACTCGATTTTTTTCTGTCTCTTTTTTATTAGTATTTTCATCTTTCTCTTTTTTCTTTCTGTATTCGATTTTCTTTCTTCTTCAGATTACATAGTACATCCTTTTCTCTTTTTTTTCATTTCTTTTCTTCCTTTTCTCTTTTTATTACATATTACTCGATTCATCTTCCTTTCTTTTATTACTTTCTGTACTTCTTTTTTTCTTCTTTTTTATTCTTTTCTTTCTCTTTTTATTACTCAGTATTTTTCTTGTTTCTCTTTTATTATTACTCATTTTCTTGCTTTTCATTTTATCTCTGTAATTTTTTCTTCTTCAGTACTTTTATTACTCATCTTTTGCTCTTTTTTTTATTATTCAGTAATCGATTTTGTTTTTTCTTTTTTATCATTTTTTCTTTTTCTCTTTTTATTACTCAGTACATTTTCTTTTTCTCTTTTATTACATAGTATCTTTTTCTTACTTAGTTTTATTCTTATTTTTCTTGCTTTTTTTACTTTTTTTCTTTTTATGTCTTCTTTATTAAAAAGTATAAATTTTCTTCCTTTCTTTTTTATTACATAGTACTGTTTTTGTTATTCTTCTTTATTACATATTACTCATTTTCTTTTTTTCTTTTTTGTCTTTTCCAATGTCTTTTTTCAGAGTACTCGATTTCTCTTCCTTTCTCTTTTTATTTCTCTTTTCTTCCTTTCCTTTTTTTTACTATTAATCGATTTTCTTCCTTTCTCTTTTTTATTTTCTCTCTGATTTTCTTGTCTCTTTTTTTTACTCAGTACTCATTTTTCTTCCTTTTTATTTTATTCTTACTCTGATTTTCAATGTCTTCTTTTTTATTACATATTCTTTCATCCTTTCTCTTTTTATTACATTCTCGATTTTCTTCCTTTCTCTTTTTATTCTTCAGTATTCGATTTTCTTCCTTTCTTTTTTATTACTCAGTACTCGATTTTCTGTCTTCTTTTTATTACTCAGTACTCGATTTTCATCTTTCTTTTTTATTCTGTGCCCAATACTCGATTTTCTTCCTTTCTTTTTTATTATTCTCGATTTTCTTGCTCTCTCTTTTATTACATTCTCTTTTTGTTTCTTATTCGATTTTCAGTACTTCTTTCTTCCTTTCTCTTTTATTTTACTCGATTTTCTTGTCTTCTTCAGTTACTCAGTCTCATCCTTTTCTTGCTTTCTCTTTTTGTCTTCTTCAGTTACTCAATTTTCTTGCTTTCTCTTTTATTACTCAGTACTCTGTGCCAATGTTGCTTCTTCTTTTTATTTTCTCATCCTTTCTCTTTTTTCTTTCTTTCTTCTTTTTTATTACATAGTACTCGATTTTCTCTTCCTTTCTCTTTTTATTACATTCTCTCTTTTTCTTGCTTTCTTTTTTTATTACTTACTCGATTTTCTTGCTTTCTCTTTTTTCATTCTCTCTTCTTGCTTTCTCTTTTTCACTCAGTTCTCGATTTTTCTTTTTCTCTTTTCTAATCTATACTCGATTTTCTTCCTTTCTCTTTTATTAGTACTCGATTTTCTTCCTTTCTCTTTTATTACATAGTACTCGATTTTCCTTCCTTTCTCTTTTTATTACTGATAGTTAGTCGATTTTCATCCTTTCTTTTTTTTTATTACTCTGTCTACTCGATTTTCTTCTTCCTTTTTTATTACTCATCCTTTCTCGATTTTCTTGCTTTTCTTTTTTGTCTTCTTTTTTCTTGCTTTCTCTTTTATCACTTCTCTACTCGATTTTTCTTGTTTTTTATTACTCATCTCTTTTTCTTTTTTTCATTCTCTCTGTACTCGATTTTTCTTCTTTTCTTTTTTACTCAGTACTTTCTTTTTTTACTTTCTCTTTTCCAATTCTTCTTCAGATTCATTTTCCTTTCCTTTTCTTACATAGTACTTTTTCTTGCTTTCCTTTTCTTTACTCAGTACTCGATTTTCTTCCTTTCTCTTTTTATTACTCAGTACTCGATTTTTTCTTCTTTCTTTTTTATTACTCAGTACTCGATTTTCTTTGCTTTTTTTTTATTATTCTCGATTTTCTTGCCAATGTTTTTTATTACATAGTACTCGATTTTCTTGCTTTCTCTTTTTTATTACTCAGTACTCGATTTTCTTCCTTTTCTCTTTTTATTACATAGTCTCATTTTCTTCCTTTCTTTTTTATTACATAGTACTCGATTTTCTTGCTTTCCTTTTTTATTACTTCATGTTTCTTTTTTATTACTCAGTAATCGATTTTCTTTTTCTCTTTTTTATCACTCAGTTGCCTTTTCTTCCTTTCTTTTTTCATTACTCTCTACTCGATTTTCTTTTTCTCTTTTTCCTTTCTGAGTACTTTTATCATTTTTCTTTTGCTTTTCTTTTTTATTACAAAGTATCTTTTCTTGCTTTCTCTTTTTATTACTCAGTTTCTTTTCTTAATTTCTTTTTTTATTACTCATTCTTTTCTTTCTTTCTCTTTTCATTTAGTACTCGATTTTCTTGCTTTCTTTTTTTTTTCTCATTTTCTTTTTTTTACTCAGTCTTTTTCTTGCTCTTTTATTTTTATTTCTCAGTACTGGATTTTCTTTCATCTCTTTTTTTTACTTACTCTTTTCTTTATTTCTCATTTATTACTCTTTCTTTTTTTCTTCCTTCTCTTTTTTTTTAGCACTTTTTCTTGCTTTCTCTTTTTATTCTCAGTACTCGATTTTCTTTTTCATTTTTACGCAGTACTCCACATTTTCTTTCTCTTTTTTTTTCTCGATTTTCTTTCTCTTTTTTTATTATTCATCTTTTTTCCTTTCCCTTTTTCTTTCTTTTCAGTTTTCATTTTCTCTTCATTTATTTTTTTTTTTATTCATCTTTCTTTCTTTTTCTTTCTTTTCTTTTTTTCTTTTATTTTCCTCAATTTTCTTTTCCTTTCTTTTTTCCCTCATTTCTTCTTTTTTCTTTTTTTTTTTTTTTTTTTCCCTTTTTTCATTTTTTCAAATCTTTTTTCTTCCTTTTTCTCCCTTTCTTTTTTTTGCCTTAAAACTTCTTTCTTTTTTTTTTGTTTTCAAATATCAATTCTCTCTTTTTTTTCTTTCTTTTCCAAATCTTTTTCTTTTTTTTTTTTCTTTCTCAAATGTCACTTTTTTTTGTTTCGTTTTTTCATTTTTCCTTTCTTTCCCAAATTCATTTTTTCTTTCTTTCTTTTTTTTTCTTTCTTTTTTTTATTTCTTTCCTTTCTTTTCTTTTTCCAACTATTTCCTTTCTCATCCATTTTTTTCTTTCTTTTTTTTATCATTCTCTTTATCAAATTCGTTTTTTTTTTCTTTCTTTCTTCTTTATTTCTTTTCAATTGTTCCATTTTTCTTTCTTTAAAAGAAAATTCTTTTTCTTTACAATGAAGTCATTTTCTCCTTTTTGTTTTCTAACGATCACGTCTTTTCTATCTTTTTCCCCTTTCTTTCTTTTTCTTTTTAACCTTTCAATCTTTCTTTAATTCTTTCTTTCTTTTTTTTTTTCGTATTCTTTATGTCACCCCAGTTAATTTGAACCTGATGACGTCCATAGACTTTGTATTTCGTGCACTGTTCTGATGATTTCCATCTTTATTGAAATGCAGACCCCAACACCCTTCCATGTCACTTCAGTGCATCTTATCGCCATCAAAAATGTCTTCCCGCCAACCTTCATCATCCCATTACCAAAAGTACCTAAATATCGTAACTATCCCCAATAAAATATTTATTGTTTTTTCACATTTACCATCATTATATTTTTCTTTGAAGTCTAATTTTGTTATAATTCTTTCATTATCAGTGACAACGCCTTCTTCTTATCGTTTCAGTATTCTTATTTTACCCATCCATACCTGTGACAGCTTTATTTCAATCATTTTGCAATGGTTCTTTCAATCTCCAGAGTCCAACTCAAAAAGATTTTTAAGAAGGAAAAAAAACACATTTATTTTCTGAAGTAGGCAACACGTTTATTTTTAGTCATTTCATCCCAAGCAAGGCAACAAAGCCACGAAGACGCAGGCGGTTACTAAGTGTGAAAGAATATAAGAAAAAAAAAAATAATTTGTAAGGAGGAGAACAATAAAAGAACAGAAATTAAAAAAAAACAGAAGACATTGCATTTAATTCTTTGAAGATAAAACTCGACTGGAAAGCAAGAAGCCGGAAGAAAGTTCAACAAACAGAGGGTGCGCAAGAAGGATCTATTAGAATAGAACTTTTAGGCTACGTCTTGCCATTTTAAACTGAAAGATGATAAAAAACCTGTCTACTTTTTTTTATTAGTGCGCCTGGCCGCCCCGCTTGAGAAACGCTCTTCTTACTAATCATACGTGGTGCTTAAATTCATAGAATCTAGGTACCATAGAATAATCTAATAATCTTTCTACCATTCAAACAATTACCATGAAAGTATTTATAGAAAATCAGAGGAAACTCCGATACGGCAGTTGGAAAGTGAATGAAGATGATGACCTTGCAGTTAATGAAGCCAATGACCTTGCAGTTAATGAAAAGCCAATGACCTTGCAGATATTTCTTTATGATTCTATCAAGGAGCTCTAAATATATAGCAAGAACACCAGATCATATGTGATAGCAAAATTCAATAGCATGGACGAATGGTAGATTTGTAAATATGTATGATAATTCTAGAAAGAAAAAATATCTAAATAAAACACAATGAACCAACTTTCTAGTTGCAGATTTAGCAATTCGATATAATCTTTTTTAAAATGTCATCGTTACCACGATAAAGCACAACGAGTCATTCCCTATAGATAATAATTCTATATTATATATATATATATATATATATATATATATATATATATATATATATAATTTCATGCAGTTAAAAATATATACTTATAGTTCTGTTTCATAACATAGAGCACTGTATTTATAACTCCTTAGGAATAAATACACTTACGTACGATGCGTATATATACATCATTTTCCCTACCCATATCATATATATATATATATATATATATATGATATTGAACATTTCTATTCCACACTCAGAGGCGACAGGCTGTTTCATGATAGACCCAGTTGTCAGGCTGCCTGACGATTGCGTCTCGCATTGAAATAGTCTGTCGCCTCTGAGTTTTGACTTCAATGTTCACTTTTTTACTATCTCTGATATTGAGCACTTTATCCATAAATATACCACACTTTGAAACTATATTTCTGCCCCTACTTTATATATATATATATATATATATATATATATATATATATATATATATATATATATATAATCACAGCATGAAACTCCGAGTTGTTCTCATCAATGTAAGTTATTATGTATATTTTTTTTTAGACAGAGACCACAATTTTGACATAAAAATGGTAATCTAATCAATGGAATAATCAATTCATTACGATGAAAATGTCTAGAAAGTGCCTTGATCGCAAGGAAATCTACAATAATTTTGCGCCCGGGCTTTTACAACATTTCACCATTCCTGATTCCGTCTATTATCACAGTGTGCGATATGTACTAACAAAAGTGATGGAAACAAAAAGAAAAAAAATCTAAATGAAATCATGATTTAAAAATGTAAAAACATTCCCAGCATCCCTCGTTCACGTGCATGTGTAGTCGCACCAACATAATAATTTTAGCACAATGAAATCCTAAAGTAAGAAAACGCGACAAAAGAACTTTTTTTCCACTTTGTCATATATTTTCCCCCAATATCGTTCTTGATATCTAATAATATACATCATTATCTCATATATATATATATATATATATATATATATATATATATATATATATATATAAAATATAAAAAAAAAAAAAAAGAACAGTAAGATATATTTCCGGTGTTCTTATTGATATTTTTTACTTTTTACAAAACAGTGCTCAATATAAACTTTATATAAAATATTATAAATTACCTGATTTAAAATATGGTTTCTTCACTACATAGAATTACCATGTTTCAAAAAACAGAACAGTGTACAACTTCAGATTCGATTATTTAATTAAATTAAAAATATTACTAATTCAAAAAAGTTTGGAATAACTATGTACTTTTAAAACTAAGTAAATTTCTTAATACGTTATTCCAAAATTCGCTTGAAAATGAAACAGAACTAGTGCTTTTAATTTAATTAAATAATCGAATTTGAAGTTGTACACTTTCCATTTTTTGAAACATGGTAAAATAAACCCCATAAAGGACATATTTTAAATCAGTTAATTTATAGTATATATATTTCGTAAAATACATCTATTGGATGCTTTGGTACACATCATCAGTGATGTTTCTAGTCGTTCTAACCGAAGTTCATTAGGGGTTTTTCAATCTTTCAAATCATACACCCTCTCCACGATGACGCAGCCGAGACTGATCGGGTATCGACTTGTGTACCTTCCGCTAAAAATACAATTTTTTTTTTTCCACCAAACTACACACTGCGACTGCTCTTGACAATTTATGGTCCAATCCAATGACAATTTTCGGTTCACTAGTAATGTGCGCTCTTCCATAAAAAAGGAAGCAAACGCAAGCACAGTTTCTATCTGGTAAGGAACATGGCAGCGTGCTCGACTTGAAGTGGTAAGTAACGATTTGTTTCCCTCACTGAAACATATACACATGCATGTATACACACGAAAACGCGCCCAGAATCACATTATGCTTACACTTATTCGATATATAAATCCAAAGGGCGCCTCGATGTGATGTAATGGTTAGTAAATTTGTCTCGCTAGAACAATTGCAACTGAGTAGTGAGTTCGATCCTTACTGAGTGCCCCATACTTTCGGCCTTGTGTCGCATCTGAAACGCTTGGAAAATCACTGCATGAATCCAAGGAGAGCTCAATGTAAGTAACAGAGCAATAAAATAATAATAATAATTTAGTGTAAAGACAATCTTTAAAAATCCATTTCGGTTATAATTTTTTTTCATCAATATATTTTAATATATACTTAATATATTAATATGAAGTAATATATTAATATATATCAATATATAAATATATATGAATATATTAAATATATATATTTTATATTTTAATATATAGAAATATATATTAATATATATTCCATATATAAATATATATGAATATATTCAATATATATTTGAAGATATTCATGAAATAAATTATAACCGAAATGGATTTTAAATTCCTTTTAATTATATATATTTTCCTTTTTATATTATATATATATATATATATATATATATATATATATATTGTTAAAATTCATTATAAATATATATATATATATATATATATATATATATATATATATATATATGTGTGTGTGTGTGTGTGTGTTTATTTTCATATAAGAAGAAAATGAGTAATCACCGACACCGAGCGGTTCGAGTGTCACCTCTGGACTTCTGAACATATGTTTTCCGTCAGGTGTATAAATAGCAGTGTCAGGCTACTGACTGCAGTGATTATTGAGTGACTATTGAGCGGAACTATCCAGTCGAATTAGTGTGAATTATTGTGCGTCAATTTCGGTTTTGATTTAGGATTTACCGGACGTTAAACCGAGCCGCGCTACTAAAAAGGTATTCACTGAAATGGTTAATTATCTTTGGTTGACTTTTTTCTTTGTTAAGTATTTATTTGCGTTTGTAATTAAATACTGTTTTATTTTAACATTGAAGTATTGAGTTTTACAAAATTATTAACGGCCACCGTACGCCAAGAAAAAATTATGAAACTGATTAAGTCTGACAATTATTTTAATATATTTTCGGTTTATACCTTATTTTTATAGATATAATTTATTTAAGTAAATGCTCTGTTTTGTTTTTAATTAAACATCATTAATTACATTTATCGGTCTGAATGTTCGAGAAATGTTGTAGAAAAATGCGCTCTTCGAGAGGAATCGAACCTATAACCTTTATGGGAAACGTCATTTGACCTGAGGTGCTGTTCCACCACATAGAAACGTTTTGTTAACAAAGTCTGAATTACTGTTTATAAACACACACCTTCGACGATTGTTCTCGATAGATCATTTCTACCCACGAAACATATCTTAACGTAAACAATGATAACATAGCATGAAATGGATTAAATCCGACAATTATTTAATATATTTATTTAAAAATATGATTCCAACGCTACATAAGAGTTCTTATGTTTCGAAACAAGAGCCTAAAATTTCAATAGAATTATTTGAATCAGACTGAAACTAAACAAAAAGCCCTGCTCCATCTTCAAAAATCTAAATATTTTTAGGAATAACTTATTCCTGAAATTTACGCGTTTATAAACATATTCATTATTGAAATTAAAATTACTATGGTAATGGCTAGAGCAATTGTTTAAAGAAAAAAGAGGTGTAAGGGTTAATAATTTGCATCAATATCTCAGTTACATTCAAAGACGTCAA